TCTTTTCAGAAAAAATGCAGTGTTTACATTACAGCCTAGTGTTAACTTCACTGGCCACTCCTTAGATTGCTGTTAGAGATCCTTCCTGGGTCATGGCTGCCTAAAATGCATCCAACCATTCAGTGTCTCCTCCCTCTGCATGCAGACACTGAACTTTCCTCATAGAGATTCATTGATTCAATTCATCTCTATGAGGAGATGCTGATTGGCCAGGGCTGTGCTTGAATCATGCTGGCTCTGCCCCCGATCTGCCTCTTTGTCAGTCTCAGCCAATCCTATGGGGAAGAACTGTGATTGGATCAGGCCACCACTTCTAATGATGTCAGCAGACTGCTTGTTTTTCTGAGTCTAACAGCATGCTGTTACAGCTTCAGGTTTGAATACAGTAAGATTTTTACTATATTTATGGAGGCATGAGGGGCCCAGGGAGCTAGATGGTGGTTTTACACTATAGGGTCTGGAATACATGTTTGTGTTCCTGACCCTATAGTGATCCTTTAATATTTCTTTTGACTTTTTAAAGAATCTACACATATTTGCATATTAATTTTGATTCTGAGCATATTTTTTAAATTGACTAAATGTGCCTTGCCTGTTTACAGCGACCTCCAGTTGGCAGGCCAGGCGGCAGTGGGGCTGTAGATAGTGAAAGTTAGCAAGTGTGGGGCCGCAGATAGTGAAAGTTGGGAATAAGTGTATTTCTCCAATTCCCCTCCCCTTAGAGACAGGCTGTCAGCAGAAGTGAGCAAGCAAAAGGGCAGAGGAGAAGGTCTACTAAGCAGTGCACTCAGTGCTGGGTAAGCCAGGTAGCAGACGGCCAATGCCAGAAGTGCAGGTGGGGTTATGTATTTTTGTTCCTGTACTGGCTGTGTTGCAACATAGAGTGCAAAAGACTAAGCCTGTCCCAAGATTATACAGGTACTATAGTGAGCACTATGCAACCTGCAGCCTAGGTTTGTTTTTCTATCGTCTAGGTGCACTTACTTGAAAAAAGGGTCTTCATTACATGACATTCTAACACTTTTTGGGGGGAGCAAAATGTCACCTCAACACTTTCTTTTATTATAGTGATCCTTTCATCAAGTTCTGAAAGGAAATGGTTACTTTTTAAAACAAGGTATATGTAAAGCCATATGCATACACCTTGGGTCAGACAGTGTTTGAAAACCGACAGTCAGTTTGTATGGTCTTCACTGCTTCACTCCCTGCACGGTGCAGGGACATCATCAGACTGACTAAATGTCAATGATCCTGTCATATACTAAAGTTAGGGATGAGTTTAATGCACCAAGTATAAGGTACCATCTCAAGATATGACCCTGTGTGCTTATATCAGTTACACCAGTGGTTCTCAAATCAGTCCTCAACGCAACAGTCCCGGATTTAGGGATTGCCCGGTTGTGTCTAAGGTATTTTTAGAAAGAGAAAATAAAAACCAAACAATCACTGTAGACCCAACTGGGTAAATCCTGGACTGGTAGGGGGCCTTTAGGACTTGTTTGGGAACCACTGAGTTATACAATACAGCCAGACAAAGAGGTATAGTGGCATTACAAGCAACTGCACAAGGGTTATAAAGGAGGGGAAAGTGAATCATTACCAAAACACCAGCAAAGTCTATTCACTAGTTATTACGTGTATGGGATTAGCTGTTTCTTTCAGCTGCTTTTTAACATACAGAGATTTCCACAAGATGGCGCTGCAGTATTAAGCCAAATGAAATGACAATGCTAATACATCTTTATGTGTCCCATAAACAGTACAGGTGAAAGAGATGCAGATGGCTACCTACACAGGATTTGGAAAATAATGAGGGAGATTCTATCATTCATTTAATGCTAGTACTCAAATAGAAATTCAGCTATTTTCTCAGAATTTGTATATTTAATGTTGGGTAATTGTGGTTTACTGTGCTCTGTCACTTGTGGGACTGCCTGTAATCTGGGGGAGTGGGGAATATGTTTATTGACATGGGGTTGAAAAAAGATAGAGAGCTAAGGGAAGAAGAGCTAAAATGAAATGTATTCAATGATAAAGGCACACTCGTGAAAAAAACTCAGTTTCCAGCCAGGGTGAAACGTCTTGATGGGAAAACACAGAAACTGGAATATGAATAGCTAGTTACTAGATATCATTTTTGTTTTCAAAGAGCAATACGTCTTTTGTATACTGTAGGCCCACAGGTATGATACCAGCCAAGACTGCCTCAAAATTGTCCAAGCTAATAAAATAAAAAATAAACATGTAGGTGAGAATCTAGGATTAGGGCATCAATTTAAATAGGTTTTCAATTAATTTAATACTATTAGAAAAACATTGATTTGTGATTTATATTTTAAATTCCCATTTAGTGGTGACTTCTGTAGATAAATAATTTGGGAAGATTTTCTAACTATATTGAATTAAGTTTGAGTGAATGATTCTTTCACGTAGACCCAATGTGGTTTAAGGGTAATATAATGAGGGGTCTTGGTGGTTCCCAAGCCCCACAATGCAGTGATAATTGGTTCAGGGGAGTCCCACTCCTCTGGTCCTAATGACCATAGGTATTAAAATAAAAACAACTCTCAGCCACCCCTTCCCCTATTCCCCAAAGTATACATAGGAATGCCCAGTCTTTTAGTCCCAAACATTATCCCCACCGCCAGCAGGCAATCACAGGGCATCGTTGGACATGTCTTACTCCCACAAGTGTTGTCTGGTGATGTGTATAATGCCATCACTTGGCAAGTTTCCTGAGAATAAGACTTATAAGGGAATACACTGAAATTGGTTTGTTTTTGCAATTTATTTATTTATTATGCCACCTACTCTGTGATAACTAGCTACCTAGGGAATGAAGATAACTTTTAACTGCTTTAAGAAATGATTGGTAAGTTATATCATAAAACAAGGATTTGAATCTATTCATGCTATATATCGTCAGACCCTGGCGGAACTACAGCGGACCCTGTGGACCCTTGCAACCGGGTGCCCGCCGCCATGTGTTGCTGCCCTGGCCTGCACAGTGTAACCACCGGGGCAGCATTGAAGGGGTCCATCGAGTGGCTCATGCTGTTATGGCCACCCGATGGCAATGATGAAGCCCTGTGACGACGTCAAACGCTGGGAGGAAGTGACTGTCCTGTCACTCCTCCCAGCTATCAGAGAGCCGCGCAGGAGGAAGGAGAGGGAGTCAGAGTGGGAACTCTGACTCCCATCAGCCTGAACCACCACTGGACCCCAGGGAAAGTCACGCTCCTGCACCAAAACATTTTGCATGTGTGTGTGTTAGTGTTTGTGTGTCTGTATGTGTGTCTGTATGTATGTATGTGTGTGTTTGTTTGTGTGTGTGTGTGCGTGTATGTGTCTCTGTGTGTGTGTCTGTATGTATGTGTGTCTGTATGTATGTGTGTGTGTGTATGTCTCTATGTGTATCTGTTTGTCTGCATGAGTGTGTGGGGAGGGGGGTGGACGTATGGGGGGGAATTGGAAAAGTAGACCTATGGGGGGCGGTAGACCTATGGGGGTACCATAAATTTCTGTGGTTTCCCCTGACATTGTTTTTTTTTTTAGGTTTTCTGTGTTCTCTTTAAGTCCTTTTTATTTTGTTAACTGTTTATGCATTGTGTATGTTTCACTTTTATATGTCTGTTATGTAGATTTTAATTTTTTTTATATTAAGCACTATTAATTACTTTTATTATTTAATTATTCATTATCTAAGACTTAGAAAATTCACAACATATCTGGGATTATATTATGTTTATGGAGTAACTGAAGAAAAAGAAAAGAAGCATTGGCCAATTACCCAATATAGAAACAAGACAATAATTTCTTGTCATCCCGTACAGAGCCTCATGGGTAAATCACAGGGACCATTCAAAACACGTCCTAGCTCACCAACTGTGCTCTAAAATTAGCATTTTATCATACAGATTTGTTGAAAATTACTGACCAGAATTCACTATGTTATGCATGCATAAATATTGTCTATATGTGGAAAGATTTACATATAGTATACAGGTATATCAAATGTTTTTTCATTATGCTTAATTTTAAAATCCCTCATAGCAGAAAAAAAATATATAATCGAAAAATCATACAAGAATCAGTATAGAACAAAATTATTGATTGCATATATTAAAAAATAATGAAAGGTAGCCTATAAGAACACAGGGTGGTATCTCTGTATAGAATGATCTCTTATCTCTACATAGAATACTACCAACATACCAACATGTTTAAAAGTATAACTTATCACAAGAATACAAAATAGTAACATATATACACAGGAACCAACCTAACACAGACACACGTCATGCTAGTATTGATTCTCCTTTATTTCTTTCTTTTAAATTCTTTATTTTATTATGCTGAGGGTAACAAATAGGTTCACTTCGCCACAACAGCTGAAGCAAGCAATGTTATAACAATTCATTTTCATGGCATATCAGACAGCATATTTTTATGTTATAAGAAAGACATGTTCATAAAGGTAGTTTATATCAGAAGACCTGCTTTTAACATTTAGGTAAGGCGTACAGAGCTATGGTTGAGGAGGTCATAGATTAATAGGGAAAGTATACAGTGTTGGGAAACAGGAGTAGGCCCCCAGGGAGGACCCGGGCCGGTGGCAGCCTGGGCCTGCAATATTATTTTGCACAGGGTTCGGTAGTGGCAGCTGGGGGGGCATCTTCCTAGTGTTAAGCAGTGTGCCTCAAGGTACTCTTGCCTAGCAGCTGAGTAAGGTGTTTTTATGGGAACCTTAAAGAGACAGTCAGGCTAACCACATTCGCCTCTAACTGATACTATTTATTACCTCTATCCTGCACCCTGGCTAGCTATTCGCAGCGGCTAAGGACATTGTAATTGTTTTGGTTGTGCATCTATACCTACATGTGAGAGAGAGGCAATTTTGTTTTGCATAAGACATTTTAGGCAAGAGGATTCGTACATTAGTGTATGAGCTAGAAAGCTAGGTTTACTAAATGGCGGTTACTGCTATAGCCAGGAGTTCGCCTCTCTACCGCTCCCTGCAACTTAAGATGTAATAAAGGAAAAGCAGAAGTAAAGAAAATAAACATAGCAGGTCGATCAAAATAGCATAAGAGCATGGCTTATTGGTGTAAATCCGCTCTAATGGTGACTAATACTTATAAAGCTTAAATATCAGTCATCAGGCCCATGCCAGTCAAGGAGTTATCCATCACCCAATCCCCATATCCGGAAAGCGCCAGGAGTGTCTTGGTGGGCAGTAAAGCGTCCCCAGCCGTTCTGGATGCCCAGGCTGGTTTTGTATGCCGCTGGTGCCCGCTGTGTATGTCCAGAGTTTCTGTATTCCAGCTGAGCCATGCGGGACTCTGTGCCCAGTTGTCGGTGGATGGGGCAGGTATCTGGAGCTGTTGCGGAGCAGCGTTTCTCGGCCCTGTGATCTCGGGTATCTGCAGGTGGGGTGAGTGGGCTTGTTGGGTTATGTTGCTCCGGTGTGCCTTGTGTCTGCGCTTCAAGTATATTTTCATCCTCTTGTGCTGGCTTGCCACCGCGATTTTGCTTCGGTTACGGGGGCAGGTGGGTGTTAATGATTGCAGAGCTTTCTGGTGGCCCCTGGCTTGAGAATGGTTAATAATCCTTTTCTTCCTGGATACTGGGGCTGCCTGCTGGTCGGCAGGGTCTTTAGCTTCAGATATAGGAGGCTTGTGAGGTTTATCCCGTCGGGTCTGGCATTCGGTGATTACCTGCCCGGTTGGTAGACCCTCTTGGTAATCTGCGGGTGAGGTCCCTTGTGTGAGCAAGGGGGGAGCCTCTCATTCTCCTCTCCAGCCGAAGCCAGAAGGTCGCAAAGATGGCGTTGATTCTGTTGTCTGTATTTTGCTGCGCTTCAGCCGAAGGCCCCTGTCCCATGTCAAGATTAGTTAGTTGCCATTGGAATTGGTGCCTCAGAACAGGAGAGAAGCCTCCTGGGACCGGGATAACCCCGCCGGTCCATTGGGGGGAGGGCCTGTAGTCAGCCATCCAGCCTCATGTGGCGGCGGGAGAGCGGCCGCCTCTCCCGTGTCTGTCATGCTTACATGCCTCATGGTACGGTCAGAGTAATCTCACGGGTAGATCTGCATGTTTGGTGTCTTCAGAAGCTCCTTAACTTCACCGCTTGCTTGGTAGCTTTATTTGTTGAGTTTAGGTAGTTTTGAGGCAGTTATAACGCATTGATTCTCCTTTAAAGGTAAATATTAGCGTAATATATCTGTCAGTTGACATCAATGTCTGAGTAATAGATAATATATTGAAAAAACAAGCTTTAAATAGGATAGATGTGAAAGGTGTGTCCCGTATTACTTTACACTGTAAACTCCACTGACCCATTACTCAGATGGGAGTCTAAATGTGTGAAACGAAAGCATGTTGAGATATGCCAATCAGCTGTTCTTTTCCTCTGGCAGCAATCGCAAGTGGAAATCTCCAATACCATCACTGACTACTCACATGACCATGTTTGGAGTCACCAAAAATTCTGTCATGGTAAATTCAATCTGCTTCATCACTGCTGTGTACTCGTAAGCTGATATAATATAGTAAAGCATCACAGTCACTTTGCAGGTTTGGTTTTTAAATAATTCATATTTTGTAACTCTGTTTGCAGTGGATTTAATTTTTTTCAAATTTGTCATGGACCGGGAAAAACAAAATGACAGCACTCAAAAAGGAAGAAAAGATAGCTATAAATAATGGCAAGTGGCAAGAGTGCTTAGAGAACTACTTAAGGTAAAGGAAGACTGAAAACAATACGATTTTAAATACCTGCTTACAATCAACTATATAACATACTATAAAAGATGAATTTTACTTTTTTCAAGCATCAATATCACTGTCGGGGGACTTTGTATAATTTGCAAAGACCCCTGAGTGTGACATCGCCGCAGGCAGTCCGTTGGCAGGGAAAGGCGAGATTTACTTAACTGAACCTGTCACTCATGGGCGTCGCCAGCATCTACCGGACAGTCCTCTTCTGCTTCTAGTGTCTTAGCACCAGAAGCCAATGTCACTAATGTAATCTTCCGTATACACGAGGGTACACCATTAAGGTTTATGGTTTACAGCTAATATCTCTGCACCCGTGAGGATTGACACTTCTAAACAGCAGTAGCTCCAGAAATATACTAAGACAAAGTGGTTCCTACTTTGTCTTGGTATATCTTTTGACTAGATTGGAATTCCAGTGAAATTATAACACAGCCAGTATGAGTATTTCATAAAGATTTTACCTTTTAGAAATATTTATTTTGCAGGGGAATCAAATGTATAATAAAGATTGCACCAAGAATGCAATGAGTATGAAATGGCATGTACTTCTCTAGATATGTGTCATTTCCCCTGAGTGGGGGCCTCTATGGTACAGTGAGAGGAAGACAGACAGTCCTGGTCTCGGACAGGTATTGCCACACCCACTGAATTACTTACAGCTAAACGCTTTATGTCCAATTCTAGGCTCAGCTTTAGAGACAATTCTCTGTCATAAGAGGAATGTTTTAGAGTTGTTGTTTTGTCTTCTTTGTTGACTAGTTACTAACTCTCAGTTGTATCACACACTTACCCTGTTATCAGTGGGGAATTACATTCTTCATAAATGCACAATGTATGATGCCTATTACTAATTATCGAGTTCGTGTTTCAGCCTCAACCATTGGGAACAGGTGTATAAAATCCACCACCCCCAAACCCATTAAATTTCCACAGACACACAATGGCAGTACAATGGGCTCAGAGATTTCTGATAAACAGCACCCTACTTTGGTATCCTTAAATAGGGCAATCCCACACATGGATACCAAATTAGGGAGTTTTCAATTATATGGCTAATGTGGTGCCCTTAACCCCTTAAGGACCAAACTTCTGGAATAAAAGGGAATCATGACATGTTACACATGTCATGTGTCCTTAAGGGGTTAAACAGGTAATCCCACATAAGAGTAACAAATTAGGAAGCTATCAACTAAACAGTGACGAGTTTCAGTTGTCTGAAATGTTTGAGGGAATTTCAGTTTATTCCAAACTACTATTAACTATTTTTGGATATACCGAATCTAAACTGCCTTGGTGCCTATATCTAATATATTCATTTTTCACTCATTACAGTAGCAGCAGCCTTTCAACGTGAGACCAAGGACAGAGGTGGCCGACTGGCATAACGGGAGTTTGCTCAGTTCTTAGAACAGCAGCAACCACTGGAGCTGAGCTCAGGGACAGCCATGGCACTGGCAGTGGCACTCACTTTGGTACCAGGTGGAACAGATGGTGGATCAACAGTGGGCTACCCATGCTATAGCCTCCAATTAATTCACTTGGAAACAAGTTCAAGAAGCAACTGAAAGGTCACATGCTGAATTGTATGTACAAATGCCCTGAATTGATAATGGCCTCTGTGTGTGACCCAAAAATTAAGGGCAGACTGGCACCCCAAAGCAATATCCTGACAACTTAGAGGGAGAAACAAATCTACAGGGTGCTGAAGGTTCAGCAGAATTCAGGAATACTGGTTAAAGGAGAAACGTATAATAGCAGGAACCAGCTATATCTGCAAATTATAACCGACATGCTCAGCCTATCACTGGCCACCCATTGTACATAATCACACCCAATCCAATCCTTTGTGACCAGTGCACTGACACAGGAAGGAGAGAGGAGGAAATACGCAAAAACGTTTTGACCGTTGTGACGAAACCAACCTCGCCACTGGGCATTGGAGAAGCCTGTTTGCCCGCCTCCTACCTGCTGACTATGGCCCCTGGGTTATTTGGCCCTTCAAGTACAATATTTGGGCATATTGGATTTGTATGGTGCTGCTGCTGGCCCTTTAAAAACCATCCGTGGACATATTATGACTTTTAGGAACAATGTCCCTTTAAAGACTGTGTAGCAGATTGCATTCAAGCTGTCTTCAATATTATGTATGCTATTATGTGTTCGGTAAATTGTAAATGTGTAGGTTCTATGTTATAAATGTAACAGTATGTATTTTTATGTCTTTTGTTGTCCTTTGTCTGCCATGTGGCTAATGGAGTTTTGCCTCTGTCCTTGGAGATAATTGGATTACTTCTCAATTATCTCCGGGATAGAAGACTCTGAAACTGGTTTGGGCCGGAAAGGGGGTTTTATTAATACTTTTGCTAACTTTTGAACCCCTGGTCTGATTCGTGCCGTTTTTTAATATGTTGTTCCCCTGAATGGATTGATTATGAAAATGCATGTTTTATGTTTGTGGCATGTATATTTTAGAAGTTATAAATATTGTGTAAAAACTGTATTTCTCTGCTTGTGATAATTAGATTTCCCATTGTGTAAGATAATTGTATCACAGGCAGAGGGAAGGACTTTACTGTGGGTTGTAACTGTTATTTGATTGGTTATTTTATACCTCCCAGTGGGCGGTCCTGTATGTGCAAGACTGTAATAAAAACCAGGCTGGGTGTGCCAGCAAACAGTTCCTGTTTAACCCTCAAAGTGAAGTGTCGTCTCAGTATTGGGGGAGGATTTATTGAATGCTGTTCCAGTTTGACTGCTAGGAGTGTAAACCTATTCGCATGTTTTTTCCTATTCGGCTGTATACAGCATTCAAATGCTTGGGAGAATTTAAATGTTTCTCCGGTTCGGTGTCTGCTGCAGTGCTTGGAGTCCTCAGGAAGCGCTAGGAGCATCCGTCAGAGGAAGGTACCCGGTCGGGGTGCCAGCGGTTCCGTTACAACCGTGTAAAGTAAGGAGGTGCCCAGTGACTCCAGCTGTCCCTTTAACAAATAAACATTCATCAAATGCATTTTCAAGCAAGAACTTGGAGCAATACAAGCAAGGGGGTTATACACTAAATAACATTTTTGTTGTTGTGGCAGATGTAATAATAAGAACTATTTGCATTTTTGGCATCAAACCAGACAACAACAGTATAATGCATGATTTCATAAATAAAACCCTTGTACATGTTGCTCAAAACTGGGGTTTGATATTTATTTATTTATAAAATATTTTACCAGGATGGATACATTGAGATTTCTCTCGTTTTTAAGTATGTCCTGGGTCCTGGGTCCAGGACATTGCATTGTTACAATAGGATACGATATTACAAAAAAATACAACATATAAACAATATATGTATATATATATATACACACATATATAAATTTAATACATAACAGGTAATAAATATATTCAACCATGACAGACAGGTGCATTCTGTGCTGAGATATATTGCCATAGATCTCTTAAAAGATTTTAGATTGAATGAAGATTTGACTGTGTCCCTGAGGTTATACCATAATTGCGGTGCTCTGTAGGAAAAGGAGGATCGAGCCACTTTATTTTTGTATTGCGGTATGCTAAATATCGTGCTGGTACTGGATGGGAGATTATAGGAGGTGGGAACAGCTGGGGAGAGCATTCTACTCAGGTAGGGTAGGAGCTTCCCAGAAATGCTCTTATGCACAAGGCTGGAAAGATGAAGAGTAAGTTGTCGGTATTCCAGTGACAGCCAGTTTAGCTCTTTTAACAAGTCACAGTGGTGGGTAAAGTAATTACATTCTAGTACAAAGCGGCAGAACGAATTATATAATGTTTAAAGATGTTTGGTGATACCAGCATTCTTTGCTTTACATTTTGCGTTGCATTGCAATTTCTAATGCTATGTGTTTAAAATACATTTTTAATTTGTCCACATTGCTTTAATGAAATTAATCATTGTAATGCAATTTGGATGAACCGAATCAAGATATGAATAAAATTTGGTTTGTCCACATCAGTTGTAAATGTTTTTTGGCTTGCGCATGTTTGCTTTGGATATTTATGTACTTATGAAGGGTCAGACTTGGCATATTGGCATTGAGCAAAGTTAGTTACATCCTTGTAAATATTTAAATTGA